ATAACACAATTTGATTCATCAAATGATGTACTAAATCATTACAGCATTTCCCTAGTCTTCATCTGAAACAATTAAGAATAACTCCAGCAGCTACTGTGACATGATATATAACCAAGTTCTATTATACAATAAAATCCTCTCGAACTATCCACAAGCGTGGAGATGACTTAAGGAAGAACAAGAAGATGTAACTGACTCCTAGGTTGCTTTTATGGTACAGGTATAACATCGTATAAATGTTAAAATATTGAAAAAGAACACAACTGGCAACACTGTACAATGTATATTTCTACTATGGTAAATACAACTATATTTCTCAATATTTTCCTTATGCTTCCATAATCAGGGCAATGAGTGATCATCAGTTATGGATCACAACACTTAAACATTTATTTAATTTATAAATTCTATTACCTTTATCATTCGTAACTGAACCCCTTCATCTGTTTGTGGGCCACCGAAACATACACATAAGATATTTTCCTGGAGTAGCTGAGACAGGAATATTTCCAGCTTAATGTCCATAAGCTATGAGTTTCTGAAATGAATAAGTTTGATTTACAAATGTATGTAGCATGAGAATAAAATCTGTACTTTGCAAAACACGCAAGTTACGTACCTGAAGACAATCTGCTCTGACATGCCAATTCAAATGGAAGAAAGTATTTCTCTGCTGTAATGATATTGGCTTCATCATTCTTTGGTAATGGCAAGGCAGATGATGGATTAGGGGCATCCTGACCTGCACCTTTCAGTTCGTTTCGTATCTACAATGTAAGGTTATGACAAGTAATCAGAAAAATTAACCAAGATTAAGAGCTACTACAATTAATGAAAACTTGACATAAAGATATCAACTATTCAATTACATGCAATGCAAAACTACTTACAGTATAACCGCCACTTACTGTGTTCAATCAAAGTATTTTTAAATAAATTTTGTTAATATAATTCGAAACAGTACCAGCAACTTACCAAGCACGTTTCAACCGGGAGTGGTGCTACCACTTTATATCTTGGTCGCTGAGTATCGTCTCTAGAGCCCTCACAATAAACATTTCTTTGGTTTAAAAGTCCTTTGCATCGTTACCTAAAAGAATAACAATAACATTCTTCAAATGTAACGTACTAAATAATATGAATCACTTTACGACGACATTATTCTAATCAATAAAGACAGGCAGCCATTTTGAACGGAACTAATATCGTAGTGAAATTTGAAACTATTGTTCCTTAATTCGGCAACTATTCTCAATATCACACTGATAGAATTTAAGTTCTATAACATGTATGTTTTTCATAATGTGAAAACATATGTCTTAATAACACGCTTTATTATACGGTCAGATTGTCGATTTACTTTCATTACCAACATTCAAGCATGGAAGTTCCTTTTATTTTAACTAATGTTTCAATGCAACTCTTTCACAAACTAAACATTTTCTAGCAGTTATAGGCAAAGTGGAATATCTGAAATTCATATAACTCAATATGTTGTCTTGCGATATTTCACTTAGTGAGACATTATCCCTAAAGTATACATGCCTTCGTTTACCACGTTGGTCACAGTGGATGGTGACCTTACGTACGAAATAAACATTGATGTTTTAAGTGTTAATTCTAAAATGATTATACATATCATTGTATAATATATAGTTACTTATAGTATTTAAGAATGGCTCAGAATTTAAATTTCTGCTAACACCAACAAACAACTTTCTCGATAATCAGGAGGATAATAAATAATGACAATTCTTCTTATCAGTAGGTTTAAAATCCGCCATTAGCCTATACTTAACAAACGCAAGAGTAACTTTGTCCCTGGTGATAAATAAGTCCCACGTAATGAAGGCGTATGTGGTATTAAATGCATAGCTCAATGCATTTTTAACATCGGCACTAGATAGGAGTGAGTGGTCAGCTTAAAGCACCGACAACTTAAGTTATGCTAGTTGTGGTTTGTTACCTTCCCCTTAAAGTTATTATGACAATTTCCAGTGTTATGAAACCTTACTTCGAAGCTTTTATGACCAAATTCTGCCTTAAGTGAACTGTCTTTCTGTTGGGTTTTATTCTAAATAAATCAAGTTATTTATTTGCTACCTTGTGACTGAATTCCCTACTGACTCATTTAGAATTGTAAACTGTGAATACTACAAATAAATTTGTTGTCCTTAATTTTACAAGAAGCCCAGAGGAGAAAGCTGTTCCAGTTGTGAAAGTTATTGCAACTCCAGAGATAAAATCAACTGAAGAGTCTGGGATTGTCCCAGAAAATGTATCCAAATCAAAGACGACGAATGAAGTCAAGGGGGAAGGTAAGTTCTCTTCCTTTAAATTATTTAAATTTGTTCTGTAGCATAAGAATTTAATATTTCGTTACTGCCTCAGGGTATTTATATGCTAAGTCTGTAGCAGAAGCTGTGTGACTTCAATATAGAGATAGAATTTTCATTGTGGGTTTATTTGAGTCGCTATTACAAGTACATTGTTTGGTCATGCAAGGGGCCACTCATTTAAAGTTACAGTGCCATAATTTTATGTTGAAAGTAGAATATTTCAAGGCTTTAATGACAATTCAGTACTAATGAATAATGAATTGGACAGATGGATGAGGTATGCAAGTCTCAGTTAGGATAACCAGTCTCAGACCAAGATCTGGACCTTGGACCTCCCAAATTTGAAGCACGATTGCTAATCACTTGGCTGCAATTTTTGTATCCATTATATATGGAATTTAAATAAGAGAGATTTGAAGGAAGTGGTTTTCAAAAGATCATATATTGTAGTAAATAAAATGTCTTTATTTTAGAACTCTGAAACTATTTGGGGAGACAGAATAAACTGCGTTAATTGTGCCCTCATCTTCTGTTAAAAGTTATTGTAATTTAAAAGTGTGCAAGGACTTATGAAGTATTACCTGGCCTATATTTCATGTTATGAGTTGACACATTTTAGTCTAGAATTTTGTTTTTGACAGTAATCTTTCTTCTGGTGTCAGTTTACATAAACTCTTGATTGACACATTTCAGAATTTTAAAAAAAAAAAAATATACAGACTTTTAATTCCATAATTATAATTTCTAATGTCAATTTATAATACATAACCCTAAAATATGAGGAGAGATGGAGACTTCCAGTTTCCCCAGAAATGATAAACACAAGCCTTAACAAGGTGAAAGCCTTCAAACTTCAATTTAGTTCAGTGTTTTGTACAGGAGTTAACTCTATTTAGATTTGATATGGGAGTTTACTGTTAAAATATATTGTTGTTGGTAACCTTTGGTTTCCAAACTGAAAGATGCCATTGGCTGATGAGCTGAGTCACTTATTCTCTCTGGAAATGAAAAAAAACGACAAATGACTGTCTGGATCAAATCAGGAGCCAGGTGGTTCCATCAATTTCCAGTGTACAGCATGTGGAAATATTTACAAATACAGGCGAAGTCTTTTGAGACACGTAAGACTGGAATGTGGAAAGGAACCTCTGTTTCAGTGTCCAGGCTGCCGCCCTGCGGTTTAAACATAGAAATCATTTAACTACTACAAAACATAGCAAATTAAATTCATAATTGTGTGCAACAACCAAGACTTAGTATATTTTGAATGTAAATTTAAATCATGTGAAGATATATATTTCTGTTTTTTTGTGATGTATGCTTGTATTGTTCTGATGACAGTGTGTTCCTGTTATAAATGTTTTTGATTCGTCATATTTTAAACTCTCTTATTGCCAAGCTGCATATTTTTTAAAAAAAACAACTGAGATGCTTTTTTAAAATTTCATAACGATCACAAGAGACCTTTATGATTTATGAAACAGAACATCGCACACCAAAAAATATATTGTGTGATAGTGTAATTTATTAAACGAAACACACACATATTTTTTTAAAATTAAATAATAAATAACAGAAAAGTAATTTTTAAGCATTAGTCATATAGGAGGCTTACAGAATCTGTCACACTGGTAGGAAAATGGGAGAATACATTGTATAAACTTAATTGTACGTGGACCGTCATCTTATCATTTACAAAGATTATCGATGGTATTAAACTTGTGTGTTACAAATGTTGTACCTTTGAAAGAAATTCTCATTATTCTTACACGAAATAATTTTATTTTCCAGTTACTCATCCATAAATCCATCGAGACGCTGTGATTACCAGGTTATAGAAATATGCATAAGAAGACTTTGGTATATGTTACGTAGTCATCGCAGATGTTTAATCGTGTCTCACCGTAACACGAAGGCAACTATCCCATTGTGAAAGAAATCACTGACCAGTCATTTGCGCTCCTTTAGTTATCCGATGAGACGGAAATAACTTTGGTGGTTCAGAAGCTTCCGCTCTCGAGACACCCTCACACATTATCACTGGAAGCCTTTTGTTATATATAGTTATTATTTCTGTCAAGTAGAATGCTGTTTTCTTACGCATATTGATGGTTATAAGAGTTAATGTAGTGTATTATGTTGTAGACGTCTGGTCGTATTACAAAAAGGATAACGTTCACAAATGGTTTATTTTTATGTTGGATACAAGATTTTTTTTTTAAAAAATATGTACCTTCAGTTACGCCATGATCGCTTCCATGGACGTCTCGTCAAATTCTTTGTTCATTAATAATTTTATCATTTGGTGTTATAGTCTGAGATTCTGACAGTGTTTTAAGTAAGTGAGAAAATATGGAAATGCCTTCAGTTTTCTCTGTTCTCAGTGGCTTCCTTCACTAAGTTATTTAATATTTTTTTTGTTTATTTAATGATTCTTTGTCAGTTGTGAAGATTATATTGACAATGTTTAGTGAGAATTGGCAGAATGATTAAGAGGAATGAAATAAGTTTACTTATTTGTATTTGTTACGTGTATTGAAACACCATTCTCTTTTGCAAGGAACTTCCAGTTTTTCTGAAGAACTTACTGCCTTCCTCTCCAGACTGGAATACATTTTCACTAGTGTGCTTTAGGTGTACTCCCAATACACCAGATGAGTTTTCTAATAATACTTTAATTTCGGTGTTAACAAATTATTTCCTTAAAGTAAATTTAATCATAGTATTGAAGTGAGATATATATTTCTTGTAGATATATTGAAGAGGAGATTTTTACTTCCCAAGAATTACAGAACGTCTGCTGGAAGGCTAATAGTATGAGACGTATGAACTACGGACGAAATGTGGGTGAAGATTTGCTTTATCTGGCTTTCTCACTAATTTTTTTTCATTCTTAAGAGTTATTTTATCGTGCGAACAGACGACGGAAGTTTCACCACTTATCGGAATACAAAAATAGAACATTTTGCTGACAGAACTATTCCATTGTGTGTTACAGAATTGAAAGAAAGCAAACTTCAGCAGTTGTAGTAATCAGAATTCTGACAGAGAGTACCTCAGGGCTGCTGATGGTCAGGAGGTGATATATCATGGCAGACGAGGCATTTCGGCGTATGACGTGGCGAGAGTTACCGATACGAGAAGAACATGGTGAGGCATATTCTCAGTTCCAGTGTCCGCATCGCCCACATCAAACTAAACACAAAAGCAGCATCCAAATGTCTCCGATTAAAGCCCATTAGAAGAGATACAGGTAAGTTGATGCGTACAAACACATACTCATGCATGGATGCATGAGTATGTTCTGTTACTTATTGAAGAATTGAGTTAGCTTCCTCTTGAGTATATGTCATACGGAGACAGATAATATGAAAGGTATATAGAGAGTTACTATTGGGAACAATAATTTATGTAGGATCAGTTCATGGTACGCCTGCATCATATTTTGTCAGTCAGTTTTGGCATTGGGTTTCATTTAAGGTTCTTATGGTGATGGCTGTCTTCTGGGATATTGTGTGGTAGATATTGATCAAAATATCAGAAGAGTTTACTGCCTCCATAACAAAAGCCCTGTTGAAGGAGGCTCTAAGCCCTTCTGTCAGTTTCTACTCAACTCAGAAGACAGCCATATCAAATTTTGATATTTGCAGAGTTTGGTTCATTTAGGCGTTTCTTTATTCAAGGCCTTGAATTAATATATTTAAGTCCTTAGATTCAGTTTAATAAAACTTTGAAAAAAAATGCCACTTCTGTTATAGGTGTCCTGAAAACTCACAATATTTTCATAAGCTCTGATTTTAAGAAACTCGTCGTTAACCTTTGTCAGACACACATCATGGCTTTTGCAGTAGTATATTGTTAAACCATGAACTGCGTAGCTCAACTCTGACTGGCAGCCTCAAATTATTGACGTTTAAATCCCCTGTTACTATATCGAAAAAGATTGCGTGCGCTACCAGAGGTGTTGTCCGAGCCTAACTGATGCATTCCTAAATTTATGTAGTGAATATGCTATATGTAAAGGAATAACAGTTTTGTGATTGTGATTTCGTTCCATTTCTTGTCTTACCCAAGTTTTCTATTAAAGCGTGATTTTAATTAATTTGAATAATTTGTAAATATTATAAATGTATTGTGTGTGATGTTTTATTGTAGCTGGTGGGTTGCATTGAGATTTTTGCTGGCCTCGTGTTGCACGTAACTGTACTAGTTTTTTTATAGCTTAATTTGCTCTGCGTCATTTCATTCATCTTAATGTTGATCCTTTTTCTTTGGAAATACAGCCTTCATCTACGTAATACAACCACTCAGAATCAGGAACTGCAGTTAACTTGAGAATATTAGAAATGGTTACTGAATTTCTAAAAAAAACTGTCATATGTCCTAAGTCTACTTACTAAATTACCAGTTGCTGATGTAAGGAGTTTGTTAGCAAGGGAAAGGTTAATTTTCTACATCAGTAAAATAACTGATGACTTTTTGAGAAGACTTCTTCTCCACAGTTACTGAGTAGAGTTTTAGTTCCATCCAGATGTGTCCAGTACGAATTTTTGTTTCTGTAACAATACATGCTCTGGTCCAGTGGTTTTGAAATTGCGGGTCAGAATGAATTGTGAGGGTGCCTTGAAAGGGTCGCAAGCTTAACCTTTTCCTCACTGATTGTTGCATTTGTAACCACACTTGGAGGATACAATCAGGATCTTTGGTTAGCGTATGAACTGTAGTGATCTGATATGAACAGTTACATTATTTAATAAAAGTATTAATAAGGTAGTATATTTGCGTCATATTGTGAATTAGGTTAATATTTTCTGTCAAATCACAATTTTTAATAAGATAATAAAATATTTAAAATATCATTTCACGTTCCGCATCGAATGATCGATTTACAAATTGGAACGTCTCTTACGACATGTTTCGGTTATATTTAACCGTCCTCAGGTATAAATTAGATTGGTAAATCTAAAACTCGAATTACAATCATTTACAATGTTATGCAGTTTATTGAAAATGTTATTATCAGATTACTCTTATATATTAGAACGAAGGTATTGTTTTTTATATGGCGTGGTTCATCTGATGTTCAATATTAGTCGGTGATGAGTTGATAGAGACATGACGTGTCTAGCGGAAGACATCTAGAAGTATTACTGTGTCGGGTCGAGGTTTAATACTGAATAGGATGTGCTGAATGGCAACTGCCTTGTGAACTGTATCTCCCCTCTTTTATGCATATATCGTGGAGTAATATTACCAAGAGATGGCAGACCAAGTTATCTGAATATTAGTGTTTCAGAAGAGCAGTTGTGTGTGTGATGGGGAACCAGCTTAGGTGGAGTTGGAGATGTGAAGAACCAGACAGAATGAAGCACCTGGAATGTTTGTGACTTGGATAAGGAAATGCATTATTCAGGTATGTTAGGGAGTAGAGTTTATTTACATTCCATAGATCCTTATTAGGACTAAACTAAAGGATGTTGTTCATTGATGAACTTGCAGGCACTGTAAAGCAACAGACTGGAGACGCTGATGTTGCAGCTGTAACTAAAGGAATTCAGACATTAAAGATCCCAAATAGGACAGGTTGTGGGACTAAAGGAATGAAAACTGTAGTAGAAACCAACTATTTATCAATTTTTCCTGTAGTGATGTTGCTTGGAACACAATTGAAGGTGTGATAGCGCATGTAATATAAACAAAAGTTTTGTTCTCACTGTAGACAGTTTTCCACTCTAAAATGAAAAAGATGTTTCTATCAGAAAGATTCTGATGTGTTTTTATGTTCAGTAAGACAAATATAATAGGAAGCATACTGGCAGTTTTAGTTATGTAATGTGATATCATCGAAGGCCAAGTTGAAGGAAAGCGAGGACTGGGAAGAAGACTGATACAGCTAACCGACGATCTGAAAGAAGGAAAGAAGATGAAGTTCCAGGAATTAAAACGAGAAGCTGAGAATAGGGAAAACTGGAGAGCTCTTTTTGGGCAGAGCAATGGACCTGTCGTAAGACAGAACACTGAATAATAATAATAATAATAATATAGTAAAAATTTGTGTCATGGTATTAAGCTTTAGTAAGAATCCTTTACATAAGATTGAATGAAAATACACTTGTTCTAGTCACGCACAACAGACAAGTATTGCGTGCCCAGTAAGCAGTGTTATAAATTTGTGTGTAACTAATTTAAAATTGAAATTCATTAGTAAACCACTGTCAGCATAAGGAATAGCTTTCTGTTTCTGTCCACGATAATGTCACGGAGGATATTTACTGACAGACTACCGACGTCCATCTTCTGGCATTCGAAAGAACAGAGAATTTAGTAATCCAGCTTCAGAATCCTTTAAAATTTACTCGCACCATTCTGTTTTTGCTGCAAGCCTACAGAGGCGTCCCGTCATACCTGTTGTGTTACTATAATTACAATTTATATTATGTACATCCCATGTACGCTTCACAGCATAAGCCAAGCAAGGAACATATAGTGTGAATTTGAAGCCCTTTTTAAAAAATAACGCATAGTAAGCTTATTTCTGTTATATACTCAGCTGACGGGGACCATGGTTACGCATTGTATGCATGCTACGTATTACAGAAAGGTGGAAGAAAGGTAGATGATAGAGAAGACATGGAACTCGGGAAACGTCAAGAGGGAGGCTGTCGTGACTGAAGAGGAGGCAAGAAGTGATGCTCCATACCAGTGGTTCTCAAACTTTTTTAGTGCTGAAGAACCCTTTTGGTGTTTAAATAATATCACAGAGCCTTTGAAACGAAAACTTAATGTTCTTATGCGATTGATGTATCTGCTTGCTGGCCACGATGGAGTTGAAGACAGGTCCAGTGTTGGAAACCTGCATCAGTAATTCGTTATTGTTGCCGAATATCTTGAAAACAGTTACTGACAGACTACCGACGTCCATCTTCTGGCATTCGAAAGAACAGCTTCATTATTGCTTTTCAGGTGATGTCATAGTTATCTTTAGTAATCTTCCACCTTGTCCATAAATTTGTTGGCTCTCCGGTCTGTATTCGGTCCGTGGCCTCCTCGATTCTCCTCTTCCATTCGGTCCTCTGTTAGGTCCATCTGTCCGAGGCTTTGATTGAGGTGTAGTATCTCAATTTGTAAGTATTCCATTGAGATGGCCTCCAACATGTGTCTAGCAAATCTCGTGTGAGCTGCTTTTAGTCATAGTTCTTAATATCCACTTCAGTATTATATCTCATTCTTGTTCTAACCAGGAAGTCTAAGTAATTACCTAGTTGGTGGGCGTGTGCTAGCATTAACAGAGTGACTGTGACTGGTTGTGCTTCAACTGGATATTTCTTGTTATGTTCCAGACAGGCGTTGTTACATCAATGGACAACATTGTTCCTTTTAAGTACCTGCAGTTGCCACAGACAGAGCAAGACAATACAATGGCCTTCCAACTAAGTATTCAACTATTTTCAATTGCCAGGTAATACACAGAATCTGTTACATGCAATATTGTATTCATATTGAATCAATATATATTCATACGAAACAATCTCTACCAAAACGTACACGGAAGAAACTACTGCTGAGCAGACGGACCGAGCTTTAACACGACTTGTGTTCATGGTTCATCAATTTGATGCGTGCTCAAGGTTCTACTAGAAGGACGGTAGATTTATCACCTCCCTAAGCACTGCAGCTTACCTTATGTGATAGAGGAGTCTCAATGAGCTGTCCTCTTGCTTCTAAGCAAGCCTCGCTCCTCTTCTATGGCTCTCCGGTCCATATTCCGTCCATGGCCTCCTCAATCCTCCTCTTCCATTTGGTCCTATCCTCTGTTAGGTCCGTCTGTCCGAGGCTTTGATTGAGGTTTAAAATCATCTTCCTTTTTAAAGTGCAACCCCCAACCTGGAGGACCTGAGTACCTGTCTTAGTCTGACCTCTCCCCCCTCGACCAATCTGGGTAGGGAGGCCCTACCAGCAGCTATGCTACCGCCAACATACCAAGCAAGCCTTGCGCCTTCTAAAATTATTTCTTCACATGTGATGGAGTTGCTATCTTGAAATATTAGCAGTCTCCCTTGGAATATTGCTAGTTTTTGCAAAGAACGCAAAGTACCATCTGCACAACAGACAGAACATCGCAGTCTCAAAATTTGGATGTAAGAATTTAAGAATTTGTGTAACATAATTTTGTGAGACAACAAAAACAGTCTCATGTCTTGGTAAATAGCGATACATAAAATACCAAAGGTGTTTCACACGACGTTAAGAAGAATAATGTAGTTGAATGCGTGTGTCGAGATAACGGACGACACTGCATTCAGCGTTAAAAATTGTATAAATATTTATAATTCAGGCTCTGAATATCCAGGTGTGCATTCTAAGCAATAAATTTGAGACAAATAATTACAAATATAATATAAATAGATTATGGATGGATACCAGGTAATATGACACTGTTGTGAGACAGTGGTGATGATGGAAGCCTGTTTGTCCTGTATACAAGGTGTATACTGTCCTGAAAAATGTAATAGAAGCTAGTTGGTTAAATTTGTGGCTCAATTCACAATCATCACAGCTATGCAATTATTAGAGCATTGTTACATAAAATAAGACAAGCCTTTGCAATTTCCAATTGCCTCTGGAATGTGAGTTTACCCACACTCCAAGACACTTCATATTACAAAGTCAGAAAATGTCAGTGGCCTGAAGCATATTTTACTTTGTATCCATATGCAAATTTTTATTTTCATTACAAAAATTCTGATATCGTGCTCAGGAAGGCGGTTGATCGATAACTTTGAAATTAAATTTTTGTGTTGGAAATTTAATTTTAAAATAATTTTTTAACTTAACTGTACTTTTCCAGATCAAATAATAAGTCACAAAATGGTTTGAAATGATCTCAGTTCTTATTTTCTTGAATAAAGAATATTTATAAATTTAAAATGTATTTTGTTGTTCATTGATGAAATCGCAGGCACCGTAAGGCAACAGACTGGAGACGCTGATGTTGCAGCTGTAACTAAAGGAATTGAGACATTAAAGATCCCAAATAGGACAGGTTGTGGGACTAAAGGAAGAAAAACTGGACTTGTCAACGCTTCGGAACAAAATTGCCATTCATTATGATGTGGAATTTAAACCTTCACCATTTCCAAAGAGGCTTTTGAGGTGTGTATAGCCCCATTATATTTTGCATACGATATGTACAGGTAAACTTTGTATGATTTTTTTATGGGATAAAGAATAATAATTATGTTAACATTAGTTTCAAAATGGTTTTATTTGGTTTTACAATAATTCACTCTGATTTGCATTTTTTGGTAACTGGTAAGATTTTAATTGTAAATATTTCAGTGTACTGTTGTCTTTTTCAATTATTTTACCCACAAATCTAAGAACTAAATCAGTTTTGAAGATACGTTGCATGTGAAAATGTGTGCGCTATAATACTAATACGTTTGAATCCAGCAAATACTGAACTTTTCTGCCTTCGTAGACTTTGGACGTCCATGGATATTTGTGTAGCTAGCAGCAAAAATGAATTTCTTACCTGTTGTCTATCTTCTTTAGGTCAGTCTGAATAATATTAAAACTTTTAATGACTTCCGTGTAAAAAGACCTTTTGCTACTCTGATAACTCAGAATAATGTGATGTTAATTTTCTCACATTAATTTGTATGTCGTTGTTAATAAGTAGGAGGCTAAATGTTTATGTTTTGTGTTTATACAATTTGGTAAAATCAATGCATTGCTTATATACTTACAGGTAGATTTTGATTAATCGGGTGTTGAGGAGGATATTTGGGCCTAGGAGAGAAGACAATGGGGCGTGGAGAAAACTGCACAATGACGAGCTTAAAAATCTGTACTGCTCCCCCAGTATTGTCAGGGTGATTAAGTCGAGAAGATTGAGATGGGCGGGGCATGTAGCGCGCATGGATGGGACAAGGTGTGCACCGGGTATTGGTTGGGAAACCTGAAGGAAAGAGACCGCTGGGGAGACCTAGACATAGATGGGAGGATAATCTCAGGCAGGATCTATGGGAGATAGGAGTTGAAGGAGAATGGATTTTGTTGGCCCAGGACAGGGTCCAGTGGAAGGCTTTGGTTAATTCGGTGATGAACCTTCGGGTTCGGTAAGCCATCTAGTTAGTTAGTTAGTTAGATTTTGATTACAGTTTGTTATTGTCAGTGTTGGTAAAATTCAATACAATTTTAAGAGCTAGCCGAGATTTTAGGGACCAAACGTAATGTGGTTGCCATGTGTTGCTGCATTTAACAGTACATTGCAATCAGGTCTTTTCTCATTGTGATTATGAATTAATGACTGCTGCCTCCATTATAGCATTATTTGTAGATGAATGTTGACATCGAGGATGTATTAATTGGTACAGCTCTTCTCTGGTTTAAGAGTATTACTGAATGTAATTGCACATTATGTATGAAGCTTCATTCTTTAGGTTTCAAAATCCTAAATTTTTGTTTCTGTAACAATACATGCTCTGGTCCAGTGGTTTTGAAATTGCGGGTCAGAATGAATTGTGAGGGTGCCTTGAAAGGGTCGCAAGCTTAACCTTTTCCTCACTGATTGTTGCATTTGTAACCACACTTGGAGGATACAATCAGGATCTTTGGTTAGCGTATGAACTGTAGTGATCTGATAAGAACAGTTCCATTATTTAATAAAACTATTAATAAGGTAGTATATTTGCGTCATATTGTGAATTAGGTTAATATTTTCTGTCAAATCACAATTTT